GCTCTGATTCTATCACTGTAGTGACAGAGAGACTTTGTGTGACAACAAATGTGGAAACCTCATCCAGCATCACTGTAGGCATTATTTGAAGGAAAAAAGACACAAACAACAGCCTCAACAAGTGATTTTCCTGGCATTGATGGACTTCAGACTCCATGGTGTGAAGATTCAGTGTGATTTCAGAAAGAAAAGGAGAGTTGCACAAGGCATTAAACTGCAAGGTGTAATCATATAATTGCTGTGATGCTCTGTTGTACCTACACCTTGCTGCAAATTATAATGTTAGTACAGACACTGTTGCAGTATCATTGCACTGTCAGGGCTGCCTGCCTCTGTAGCTGAAAAAAATGCCACATTTTTCTTTATAAATTTGTTTCCATGGTGGGTGGCACTTTATGGATTGTGTTATTTTCAGGGAGAGAATATCTGACAACAAACATTTGCCAAAAAATATTCAGTAATATGGGCAGAGAGTGGAGGCATTCTGTCATTTTTAAAAGACTGAGGGGAAAAAACTCTTAAATTTGGAAGCTATAAAATGGTCTATGTGTGATGTTCTGTAAAAGAAAAGAAAAGAACAAATAGAGGTAGTACTATATATAGGAGTCATCAACTGAATGCAGGGAATTAAATGTGCTGGAGGAGCTGCTGCACAGAGAACTGCCTGAGTAATTAAAGAACAGAGCTAATGGGCTCTGGGAAAGCTCCTCTGAGAAACTACTTTCATGAAATATTCTTGACTTTAGGAAACAATTTTCTCACCAGGCCTCTTCCCCTTCAAGAGCAATCTTCAATGGGAAAATTATTTCAATGCAGAAAAAATTTGCAATACTATCCACATAAGAATATGAAACTCACCCACTCCTTAACCCAAATTCCTCTTTCTTACCAGGCTGTCTCCCTGTCAAGTTTTTCTGCCTGTAAAGTTTTGGGAAACAACTTGTAAGGAAGCCTGCATTTGCCCTGTACTGGCCTTATTCATGGTCAGGATTACAAGGGGGTAAATTTTAATACCAGGGGATGAGACAATTCAAATATTTGGATTGGGAATATCACACGTTTTGAGAGAAACCAGAGAATTTCTCTTGTGGGAATAGAATAATGATGGAGATTCAGTGTCTGAGTCTCTGCCAATGCACTGGGTGCTGCTGAGATTCTGGAATCCTAAAATTGTCAGTCTGGAAAGAAAAAAAAATAGAAACATGATAATAAATAATGTTTGCTTTAACCTTCTTGTGTTTCCATTCTCACCTCTCTACTTTATTCTTGTGGAACTTGACAGCTACACATGTTCAGCATTCATTATACACCAGTCCCCAGAGGAGCCCTTGGCAGCTGAGGGCTTGCTTATCCTTGAAAGAATTAAAATGAAATGTAAGAAACTACTTCAGCAGAGTCCTATGGACACAAGGATGGAAAGCTGGCAATGGGGATTTGTCTTCCTTCCTTCCTTCCTTCCTTCCTTCCTTCCTTCCTT